GCCAGGAGGCAAGAGACCCGTGGTTTTTTCTTTTTAATTTCCTTTGGGGATTGTGCAGAATGCTAGAAAAGGACTGGGGTCTGGAATGCTGAAGGTGGGCACTGCCAGCCTTCTGCCCAGGGCAGAGGCCAGGGGTCAGCTTCTTCTCTGGTGTCTGCCAGCCTCACTGCCGTCGGCTGCTTGCAGAGGGACCTGCTCTGTGCACTTACTTTTTATAGCCCGAGGGGTTTTTCAGAGTGCCGCTTGTTTATTTTATTAGGTTGGGAGTTGCTGAGGCTGAACTCGGGGCCTGGGGATATTCAGTGTCAGGACTTCGTTTTCAGCAAGGTCTGTGTTGTGCTCCCCTCAGGGGTCCTCTGGAAACTAGGCTGCCCTAGGGGAGCACTGGGGACCCCCCCAGTTCTGATCAGTTAGTGGTATCAGGGATGCTTCCACCTGGTACAAAGCTCTCAGGTTAGGGCTCCTTGGTCCCCTCTGCCCCCCCCCCAATGAAGAAGTCAGAGGTGGAAATAAATATACCCTTTTCCTAAACAGTAGCCTCGAGAAGCTTGATTAAGTCCCCTCAAGACCCCCCATCCTACAGGCAGTTTCTCTGCTCTGTGCCCCCCATAAATCCTCCCCCTCTCTCAGCTAAGCTCCCTCTCCCTCAAGGGTGTTTCCCCCCCATTGCCACCCAAGTGGGTGTTTGATTGGTGGGGGGCTGCCCACCCTCACCAATCAGGGCTGAGAAACCATCACTGGACGTTGTGTTTCTCAGGCCCCTCCCACTGGGTGGGTTCTGTTGCCAGTACTTTATGTGGGGAGGGGGTGATCTCCTTCCCTCCCTTAGCAGAACCCTAGGCACCCTCTGCGCACCGTCTGCCTCAGGGTTTGGATGCCAAGCAGGGTCAGGACTGGCTAATGCTTGGACAGGGGATCACCAGGGTCGAAAGCTAGTCTGGGAAGTCCCATCCCACGCACGCGCGCGCGCACACACACACACACGAAATCCCAGAATGCAGCAATGGCAACATTCACATTGTTATCCAGAAATTGTTGTCCACTTTCATTTTACTTTTCACAAGAATACTTGGGAGTTGCTTCTGTGGGTACAACAGCCGCAGTGAATACAATAATAACAGTGAAAGACAGTGACATATAATACAAGAGAAAAAGGAAAAAGGACATATTAAAAAGTGACTCCCGCCTCCCTCCAGACAAATATAAGCATTTACAGTAACTTAACACCTTCTCTGATATTACAGAAAAAGAAACTCATCTTCCCATTTCTCATCACTAAAAAGAACCGTTTTAAGCTTAAACAACTAAATTTATTTTACATTTTGACTTATAACTTTCTCTAATAAGTAAAACATTAAAAAAATTATCCCCATAAATATAAAGAATATCAAACAATAGTAACATGTACATTTTTAAACTAGATCCAATAGGTCCCTTTTACATAGTAACCCTAACTTTCTCTAACAAATAGGAAATAAAAGATTCATCCCTATATATATAAAAAAATTACATCATCTTGCAGTCCCGGTCAGAAAAAAGATTCCAATAATAACAACCCAAAATCAAAACTTATACAATTTAACCCTGGTCAAATAAGTCCACTTTGAACACCTTTTTCTTTTTCTTTTAAGAGGCTTGATCTTCAGTTGCTTCTTCAAATAAAGAGAAATGGAGTTAGGGGAGATAAGGGATAAAGATTATTTTCTTTTTACACAAAATAAAACATGTTTTATAGAAATAAAAAACCCAATAAGTAACGTTATCTTACAGACTTGGCATAAAAATAAAAAAAATATCTAGTCCAGGAATATCACCATTGACCCGAATTGTAGACTTAGAAAAATTTCCAGAGAACCTTAAGGCAGGATTAATAAAAAATATGGAGTGAGTTGGAGTATTAAGATTGAAAGTTTGGTTAAGTAAAGTTTCTTGTAGAGATGATATAAAGGAAATATTTAAAATGTCTTGGTATAATGTACTGCAATTGGAGGCATGGACTAAGGATTGGGTAAAACAATATGGGAATGCAGACAATTAACAAAATTTGAGGAATTAATACAAATGAAACAGAATGATACAAACAAAGTAACAAAAGGTAAAATATAAAAAATATTGATAGAAGGTAATCAAGCACAACAAGGAGTGAAATTTAGTTGGGAGAGTGATTTAGGTATTAATATTACAGAAGAGAAATGA